AGCAATTTCAACCTCTGCAAACTGTCATCCTCTCCTCACCCAGGATAAATTATTACATCAACTTCAATTCTTCATAAGAACTGGAACTCAGGAGTTGTGCACTCCTTTACTTTTCTGCCAGGAAGTCTGTTTCTGCACCCTTTCTCTCCTACTCATTGGTTAGGATCACCAGTGACTTCAGAAGGCATAGAGACTGATACTCTCAGCGTTGCCTTTCAGTGAGGTTTAAAAAAAATCTCTTAAAGAACATTCTTTACTGAATACTTCTTGAGAGTGTTTATGTTTGATAGAATCTGAGACCCCCTCTTTAACACACACACACACACACACACACACACACACACACATATATATATATATATATTATAGTGTGCCACCTTCAACAACAGATCTAACCTCTACCCTCTCCTGTCTAGTTTCCTCTGTTGCTAACCACCTCATTTCCACACACTCTTTGCCATCTCCTTATCAATGAATTCCATTGCTACTATTTTTTTTTCTGCTTGGTTGAGTTCATTATTGTTTTCAATTATTTTTTATTTGATTGATCATTTCTTCCATCTCCAATATTTCTGTATGGCTTATTTTTAAACAATTTATTTTATTATTTTTCATTATGTGTATCGGGGGAACTGCATGTGATTGCATGGGTACAGGTGCCCATGGAGCCAGAGATATTGGATCCCCTGGAGCTGGGTTTATAGACAGTTGTAAGCTGATGGGTAAGGGTACTGGGATTCAAACTCCAGTTCTCTGAAAGAGCTACAAGAGCTCTTAACTGCTGGTGTCTCTTAGTTAGAAATTCAGTTTTCTTGTTGAATTTGTTTCCTTCATTTATTTGCCTGTTTGAATAGACTTTGAAATCCTTAACTATTTTTAAAGTTGGGATTTTGTATTCTGTCTCTAGAATATCAACCATTTCTTTGTCTTTGGTTTCATTTATCAATGATATTAAGATTTTTGAGACTAATTTTGCTTAAACTTTCATATGTTTGTTTCTATTTTAAGATTTGCATATCTATCATGATGGGAAAAATCTGTCAACCCGAAGCCTTTTTTAAATAATTTGAGACAGGGTCTCATGTAGCCCAGGTTAGTTTTAAATGTCCCATGTTGCTAAGGATGTCCTTAAACTCCTAAGGTCTTCACTCGCAATGTTGATATTACAGGTGCACACTATTACACCCAGTTTCTACATCCTGCTTCCTTATAGATTGCTTTATTTTTAATTGGTCTTACTAGTAGGTATCTTCTGTTGAGCTTATGATCTTTACTACTATATAGGTGGGAAATGCAGACATCAGTATTAGTAACAATGATTTGACACCAACCTCTCACTAAAATTTAGTAAAATGCAATGCTTAACATCAATCATATCCCCCAGTAAGGTTAGGAAGCTATAGAAATAGATTATGATGACTTGTATTTAGACTTAATTAAAATCTGTAATTAAGAATAAAACAGAGAAGCTTCATTGATGAGATGTAAGAGCTGCCCTCATTATGGGTGTAGAGAGGAGTAATTAGAAAGCATTTAGAAACACGTTGAGAACGGACATAGGACTTTTCCAACCATGGGTCCTCTGCTAGGTTTACAATATCAGGCATAGATTCCACCACCTGTGCAGGCTTTAGGTCCAATTAGACAGCTGTTGGTTGTTCCCCAAGATACAAGTGCCGCCATTTCACCATTGGGGAAGAGGACATTTTGCTGGTCCTATCATTCTTGTGGATCTCATGCTTCACAGATTAGTGGTATTATTAATAACTTCTCTTCTTGTCAACTTGCATGGCACCTTCTGAGCTATCTCTCAGAGAGGAGGCTTCCAGGTCAGTACCAGTTTGATTTCTCCAAGTCCCGTGACTGACGTGTATGGTGCGTCATCAGCAACAGTGTTCTAGCAGGGAACCAAGAGGAATAGCGATAGCCTATATTGTTTGCATTGTATCTTGATCTCTCTTATCCAGTAGCTTGAAGGAAATTATCTCCTGCCATCCACTGAGTTTTTTGTTAGGTACTTTATGCCTCTTGGCAGACACATAATAAATTGGGTAGTATAACTATGTTGAACTACACGCACATGCACGTGAATATTTGAGTGGGTCTATAAAGTAACAGTGTTCACTATAGCTTTTCCAAACATCCTTAGGGTTATTTCTCCCTCTTCTTTCCCTTTCCCTCTGCTAAGTTCTGCTTCTGGTTCTCCACATTCCCTCTTGATAGCAGCTTTGTGCTACTATCCCCTCCTTCACCCCTTCCTCCACCTTTTCCCCCATCCCAATTTTTTCAAGAAATTATATCTATTTCTTATCCATTTCCCCTTCCCAGGGGCATCCAAGCATGTCTCTCTTAGTGTCTTCCTTGCTAGCCAGCTTCTCATGGGTTGTGGATTATGGCCTGATTATCCTTTTCCTTACATCTGACACAAGCTATGAGTGAGTACATACTGTGTTTGTCTTTCTGGGTCTGGGTTGTCTCACTCAGGATGTTTTTTTCTTTTCTTTTCTTTTCTTTTCTGGTTCCATCTGTTTGTTTGCACATTTCAAGATGTCACTGGTTTTTTATCATTTCTTCAGGTGAGGGGCATCTAGGATGTCTCTAGGTTCTGGCTAATACAAATAATGCTGTTATGAACATAGGTGAGCAAATGTCCTTGTGGTATGAGTGTCCATCCTTTGGGTATATGCCCAAGAGTGATATTGCTGGGTTGTGGTTAATTCCCAGTTCTCTGAGAAACCACCATGCTGATTTCCAAAGCGGTTGTGCAAGTTTGCATTCCCACCAGCAATATAGGAGTGTTCCCTTTACTCCATACCTTTCCCAGCATAAGCTGTAATCAGTGTTTTTGATCTTAGCTGTTTTGACAGGTGTAAGATGGTATCTCAGACTCATTTTGATTTGCATTTCCCTGATGGCTAAGGATGTTGAGAAGTTTCTTAAATGTCTTTCAGCCATTTGAGATTCTTCTGTAGAGAATTCTCTGTTTAGACCTGTGCCCCATTTTTTAATTGGATTATTTGGAATTTTGATGTCTAGTTTCTTAAATTATTTATATGTTTTATTTTTCAGGACAGTGGTATTTTATTTACATAGAACACTTTTGTTATCATATGTCATAAATTCTTTTTTAATTTATTTTTTTTAAAAAAATACCAATCCAAATTCACACTCCTTCCCCTTTTCCCCTTCTCTACAAACACCCTCCCACTTCACCCCCTCTAATCCTAAGAGAGGGTAAGGCAGTTTGCTTTGTGGAAGGCCCAAGGCCCTCCCCACTACATCCAGGCTGAGCAAGGTATACATCCAAAGAGAATAGGATCCCAAAAGCCAGTACATGCAGTAGTTTGCTTTGTGGAAGGTCCAAGATTCTCCCCACTACATCCAGGCTGAGCAAGGTATATATCCAAAGAGAATAGGATCCCAAAAAGCCAGTACATGCAGTACAGTATAGTTATTTTAAGGTCATTTTCTTCTGCTTCATCTGTGTTGGGAATTGTAGGTCTTGCAGTTGTAGAACCATTAGATTCTAGTGGTGCCATGTTGCTCTTTGTGTTATTGAACACATTCTTACACTGCCTTCCACTCATTTGGGTTCAGCGTAATTATAGGTACAAGCATTGATTTTCTTTCAATTGGTGCACTTCAGGGGAACACCTTTCCTCAGATCCATACAGGTGAAGCCTGTCCCTCATGTGGCCTCTGATGCCTCTGGAGCTGTGGTGGGATGACCTGATAGTTGTAGCCTTGGGTGGTGACCAGCTGTTGGGACTCTTCCTCCAAACAGTGCAGGTGGGGGCTGTGCCTTCAGGGTCCTCTGATGCAACTCTTTCCGCAGTTGGTGCAGGTGAAGGTTGGGTCTCCAGGGTTTTCTAATGCAGCTGGGAGTGGAGTGAACTCTTCCTCCACTCAGGGCAGGTGAGGGCTGTGGCTGAGCTTTCTTATAGCACCCAGGACCACCTGCCCAAGTTGCTCACCATGGACCGGGCACTCCTATGTAAATCATCAAACAAGGAATTTCCTTAATGCTTACTCATAAGCCAACCTGGTGAAGCTATTTTCTCAGCTGAGAAACCTCAACTGAGGTTCCTTTCCCCCAATTCTTATGTTGACATAAAACTAACCAGCACATCCTCGGAGTTCAAGCAAGTTAGCCAAGAATAAGTCATCTGAAGTCTCTCTTCTGTCTTCTTTCCTGAATTAATCCTAGAGCAGGAATCAATAGCAAACTATCTTTTTCTGCTGAAGAGGAATCTCCCAGTCTTTAGCAGAGGACAGCCCACAGACCAGTGTCACCTGGTCTGCTATTTTGATGCTGGACTGTCCTGCTTTCTACACAAGAATTTCAAAGCCTGAAGTGCGCTTGTGTTCACCTTTGCAGCTAGACAGTGACCAAAGGTTGCATTACTTTCTCACCAGCATCCTTCTGTCTTTTCGTGTACACTGAATTTGTGTCCTGGCCATGCCCCAGCTATTTCCACATGATTCTAAGGTTTATTACTGGCTTAATCAGTAGATCTGGGACATGTGGATTTGGAGGTGCAATAGTGACCTATGTCTTTCCATCCCTTGTGGAGCATTTTGACTTTTGTGTTTTTTTCAGGGTCTTCTTCCTCTTCTGCCCCAGCAGGAAGGGTAGACAGCAGAGAAGGTCCCTCCCTGTGTCTGTGTCACACATCCTATGGACCTGACATCTAAACTGTGCTTAAGTAGTGATTGTTTCTGGAGATTTCCCTTTTATTTATTTTTTGTTTGCAATGTCATCGTGTGTGAGTGTGTGCGCACGCACATGTGAAAGAGATGGTGGTGAAGGTGAAAGGCATTTATCAGCTTCCTTACAAGGTCATTCATCACTGTAATGTGGTTCTATAGAGTTCTTTATACACCTTAGGTTCAGTATTCCTGGACTGTACCTGATGGCTCACCACATTCTGTTTCCTGTGAGTTTACCACACCTTTCTAATTTTCAGGCACTGATCAGATGTTTTCTTTCATATTCACAGGGTCACAGGAGTTTGCTCTTTTGTTTTGGTTTGGTTTTTTGTCATGACGTCATCGTCAAGGGTCTGCCATGACTGGGACCTTTACAAGAGGTGAAGCTGAATATGCAGAGAGGAGAAGGACATGTGGAGGCAGGAAAACTGGAGAGAAAAGCAGAGGTTAGAGTCACATGGCCATAATCAAGACACATCTGGGCTAATTATTAGCTGAGAAGGAAAGAAAGGCTTCATAGGGAGCATGGCCCTGCCAAAACTGTGACTTCTAACCTCCAGAATGGTGACTAGAAAACACTCTGATAAGTCATTCTGTTTATTATATTTGTTAAAGCAGTCCTAAAAGACCTGTAGAAATACATTAAAAAAAAACAGCAACCACAGCAAATTAAATCAGAAGCTAGACACAGTCGGGGACTGGGCAAGGAGACATGATAGCAGTAGTCTTGACTGGCTTTCAGTGACCTTCTCATTTTCCCCTTACACATGACACTTGTTTAATTAACAAAATGGGTATAAAAAAATAATGCCAATAAGTACTCCTCCTGGTTCTGTATCCACTCATGAAGTAATTAGGACTTCCCAGACTGGGCAGCAGCTCAGTGGACCTTGAATGATGTGAATATAACGAATATGGGTAGATAATTCTAGCCAAGGCAGTTTTAAGTAGGGGATTCTGCCTATTTACTCCTTGCCTGAAAAGTGGTCTACATAATGGATTTAACCACCTGATTATGGATTAACTAATTCAATAATAAATAACATCTGTACTTTGTGAAACTCAACAAATAATGATGAGTCTGAAAATGATTGAAAGACAAGCTCAGAGAATGATATGTTTTCATCTGTTTTGTTTAAAGCATTGAACAGTTGTGTACATTTAGTCGGTTGGTAAGAGGAAGGTATTTGCTCTATCAGCTTTTGTGTGCTCAGTGATTATAACACTGCTAATGTTTTTATTCCTGTCAATTCCTATGACTCCTTGACAATCTCTATGTGCCTGTATTCCCAGTTACTTTCCAGAGTCTAACTGGGAGGTTTTCAATTACCCCAAACTGGAAAGCTCGAGAAATCTACAAATGCTGTTTAAATCGCTGTGAAAGATTGCAGCTGCTTTTTTATTGTCACTCATAAGCCTGACTCTAGATACAATCGAAGTCACTTGTTAAATATGAGTGATCCACTGTGGCATATGTATTTCACAATGTTGACACAATATCATTATGAAAAGGTCTTGTTTCTCCCAGCATGCATCCATATTCAATAAGGCCAGTGAGGAAAAAAGACAGACAAGGGAATGACTGTAATAACACAGCTTTGATTTTGTAAAAACTGATAGACGGGAGAAAATAGGCAGCCACCTAGCTGATTGCAGGCTATGGTAAATCTAGGGCAACAAAAAGGAAGGGAGAAAGAGAATGTGTTTCTTTTCTGTCCCACGCTTGGCTGTTGCTAGGAGTAATCAGGGAATGATGAATTAAAGAATACCATGAGGAAGGGGAGAGATAGGTTTAGGGCATGGCTGTTATTCCAAGTGTCCTGGAATTAATTCCCAGCATCTACAATGTAGATCACAACCACCTGTAACTCCTGTTCTAGGTGACCTGATACCTTTTTCCTGTCTCCACCAGGGACCAGGAATGCACATAGCACACAGACCCACCTAACACTTACATACATAAAAGAAATTTTAAATAAATAAAAGGAATGTCATGTGACTGATAGTAAACTTTCCTCACAACTGGTAATAACTGAAAAGGGTCATTGATAGGCCACAGAAGTCAGAAGACATCAACATAGGAGAACAAGTAAGTTTAGTTCTGGGAAAAAAAAATTAGTTTTAGGAATTGTCATTGGTGATCTAAAGGCATGAACTTTACAAAATGGAGGCCTTGGGAGGTGGCATTCCTGACCTTTGTTTCTATTAAATAGGTACAGTTGTCATTATTTTTCTCTGGGTAAGAGCCCTATTCTCAGGGAAGGAACCATCATAGGTCCAGACTAGTCCCTCTGAATGTGGATGACAATTGTATGGCTGGGGCAGACTGCGGAGCCACTGGCAGTGGCACCAGAATTGATCCTTACTGTTTGTACTGGCTTTTTGGGAACCTATCCTCTTTGAATGATACCTTGCTCAGCCTAGATATAGTAGGAAGGGTCTTGGACCTTCTCCAAAGCGATGTGCCTTACCTTCTCTGAGGAGTGGATTAGGAGAAGGATGGGGGAAAGGTGGAGGGAATAGGAAAAGGGGAGGGAGTGGGAACTGAGATTGGTATGTATAATAAAAAAAAGATAGCTTGTTTTCATTTAAAAATAATAAAAAAGTGAAAAGAAATAATAAAGGGAAAAAAAGAAACTGAAAAACAAACAAAAAGAGCCCTGTTTTCGCTAAGGGGACTTGGCCATCTTTGGTCCTGGAAATTTAGGCAAAAAGGATGTTGTTGATCTGTCTTTTTTATGGTGTTCTGGATAAAAGAATTTAGTCTCTAAGATACAAAATGGGTTGGTCAATTTAAAAGACAGATGGAAAGTTATATCCTTTAAGGTAGGGTCTAAGAAAGCAGACAGATTCAGCAGTGCAGGTCAGCAAACAGCTAAATGGCTGATAAACAACCGTGTCGTGGAAGGTAGGGGGCTTTGGAGAACAAATAGAAGACCAGAGTGTTAAGGAAAGCATGAAAAATCCATGGCTGCGGGGGCAACTCCTTCCTCATTGGTCTCCAGTCCCAACAGATGCCAACAACAATGCGTGCACATAGGCAAAGAAATAGAAATAGTCCCATGCTACCAGTTTGAATATATTTTTTAATTTTACTATTAAAAGAAGCAATAGCTACACAGAGTTAAAGAGAACTCCTTCAGTTGGACCTTATACAAAGTACCTAATAGAAATTAATGAGTAGATTTCAAACTTCCAGTGCTCTCGACGGGCTCTGACAGTGAGCTATTTCTTTTACAGGACGGCTACTACGTGATTCGCTCTGCCAGTGTTTCTTTCTCCGTGCATCCACATATACTGATACTCTCCTCGAAAGAACAAAGTGATGATAGAATGAAAGGGCACTTCTTCTTTACGAAATTGTTGCGGTTGTAGAAACAAAGGGTAACACGAGCTTTAAACAGGAGAGTGCCTACTGTGCGTACAACTTGTCCCTGCTGAAAATTTCCACAAAAGTGGTTGAACGTTTGCATTGGAGAATCGCATTTGGGAAAGTGAAAACAACTCACAGGGTTGTGATCAATGTGTTCATCTCTGTAGGAGTTGGAAATCTCTCTCACCCAACATCATGCTGCCAAATTACCCAAATGATGACTCTGAAGCCTAGATCTCTGGATGCTGGGAGGTCATTCATTTATCATAATATATCTGAATATCCACAAGTATAATATCCATAGATAGCATTGCCTATATTTTGGATAAGTAATCTGTCATAGAAATAATTTTCAAATGTACATGGAATCTATTGTGATTAGAATAAAATTAATTTCCAAAAAGTCCATTATTAATAATTTTTATAATAATGTTCTCAATTATGAGATTTAAAAAGCAATTACCCTCACACAATTATACCAGAATAGCATAAATATGCTCTGTTGAGTGTTTATGTTAAGAAATTACATTAATAAATTAAATAAATAATATTTATTATTTCAAGCATGTAATCTTCATTTCTTTTTCAGGACAAAACTTACTAGTATTAATAAATTATAGAATGTTGAAGGTAGCCCAAAAGTTTCTTCTTCTAAAGTCAGACTTCACAAAAGGCAGGATTAAAGTTCCCAGTGCAAAAACAAATTTGTTGGCTTCAGGTAGAATCCATGCAATCTCTTCAGCTGTACCACCATTATGCTATGCAAACGTAAATATCCAACAATTTGGCAACGGTGTTGCTAAAATATGCTACCTTGAATTTAGTCATGGGGTCTTTTCACTGTGAAAACCTCCGAGCACTGTAAGAAAGCGCTCTCCATCCTTCTTCCCAACACCCAGGACAGCTAGCTGGTCCACCAACACAACACAGGATACAGGAGAATTAAAAATTATGATTTTACTTTTGCCCTAATGGGTCAGAAAACTCATCTCCTAAAAAATCTGTTAAAGGGACAACCTGAAGAAATGGCTTAGAAGTCAAGAGCACTTTCAACTCCAGCCAAAGACCCAGCTTCAGTTCCTAGAACTCACATTGCAGCTCACACTGTAACTCTAGTTCCTGGGTATCTGAATCTCCGTGTGCACTAGGCATGCATGTGGTTCCCATCCATACATTAAAGTAAAAACTCAAACATATAAGAGTTAAAAAACAATCTTAAAAAGAGAACAAGTCATTTAAAAAGACTCACTTAAGCACACTTAAAAGCTAGAAAAAGTTTGCCTGTGGTATGACCTTATCTATATATTCTGATATGTAGAGGGCTTTGAAATTTCAGGTGTACCTTTCCCGTAATCTCCACCAGTCAAACTTCAAAGCCAACATAATAAGATCAAAACTTTATTCCAATGGTTTCCAAGTTAATTCAGTCATTAAACCTACCTCATACACTATTTTTAAAATTGTATTAATATCTATTTTTTTCTAACTTAAGAAGCTTTTTGGCTCAATCATAAAATAAAGATCCTTACCTAGAGTAAACATTTAGCATTGTTCTCTCCTCTGTCACACCGGATGTGCTTAAGTTCTTGATTAAGACAGAGAGCTTGGTTAACTCAAGCTCCTCCTTATAAATAAGCTTTTAGTCAAAGCCATTAACCAACGGCTTCATGATTTTGATAAATTTCAGACAACAGATCTGGTTTATAAATGAAACACTCCATGTGCTGGTTCAACCAGGTATAAGGAGATGCAAATCAAGATCAGCTGGCAAGATGACTTAACAGGATGAATCTGTTGATCAATAATAGCCCCTCAAATCTCTTTCTCTCCCTCCCTTCCTCCCACCCTCCATCTCTCTCCCCATCTCTTTGTGTGTATGTGTATGTGTGTGTGTGAGTGTGTGTCTCTTTCTCTCCTACTTCATCTCCTCTCTCTCTGTTTTTAGTGTATGGGCTACTGTTTAATAACTATCATGGAATCCCATTAGCACACATAAAAACTGCAAAAATAGCACCTACTCCTCAATAAAATACATTCCACAACAGCCTTGTTGCCAAAGAAACATATATCATGGAGACCAGACACTGTAGAAATAGAAATATTTCTGTATTGAAAAAAACAGGACAACTAATGATTATGAAATCATTATGAAATTGCTCTTAACAGGAATGAAACAAGCAATGCACCATTAAAGAACTCTAATAAACAAAACTTTGATTTGCTAACCTACCACAAAGGGCCAGTTAGTCATTACAATGCTTGCAATGATTTTTACTATCTAATTCAATTTTTAATAAGATCACTAATTTCATTAATGATGAAGTTAAAAAACGGAGGCTGGCTCATTCCTTCTGCCATCACAACTGCAACACTGATAAAACATATAATATAAAACAAGATTTCATTTGCTAGGCAGCTGGCATCACAGGACATTGGCAAATTTCTCTCAGGGAAGCAATGCTAACAAGGAAAGCCTGACAACAGCCCACTGCATTTAACCTGAGGAGGAAACAGTCACCCCATGCCATATCTGAAATTGACATTCAACTGCGTGACAATTAAGTTCTAATCAGACAAAGCAAGCTCCTTTGAACCCTCGGAGCATGCAGGAGATACCCAGAAAGGCAAAAGCAGAGAAGCAGACCAGTTCAATAGAATCTGCTTTTAACTTCCAAGAGCAAGGCTTGAAAATGCTGCAGTACCAAGAAGACAAAGTCTAAGCACCAGGTTTCACATGGCAAACTAAAAGCATGCCAGACAGAAAAATGAAAAATCTAGATCTTCACAACACCAACTTTTTCAAATCTAGAATCCTGGCAGGTCTTTCTACAGAAGGAAAGAAGCAGAAGAGAATACTTCTCAAATGAGACAGAGTTGAGAAATTAAACAGAACATACATAAAAGTAACATGCAGACTGAACAGGTTATATTTAGTAATGTGTGTGTATGTGTATGTATATATATAAGTATATGTATAATTATATATGTATAAGTATATGCATATATACTTATATATGTGTATAACCTGTTACACACATACACACACTATATATGTGTGTGTATGTATACACATATATACACACACACATGCACACTTACACACACATGCATATGTGTGTATGTGTGTATAACAACAGCTAAGGACAAAAAGTCCATGAATTTGAAAAAGAGCAGAGAGCAAGAGGGAATATATGGAAAGTTTTGAAGGGAGGAAAGTGAAGTGGAAAATGACTTCATTATACTATAATAACAAAAATAAAAGAAATATTCTTTTTAAAAAATAGAACCAGAAAATACAGGAGTAGTTCAACTAGTAGATATGAGAGTGTTCACAAAGGTTTTAAGCAAAACATTAACAGAATGGGCAAGGAAGGAATTTCAATTAGCAAATATGAATCAAAGAATCACTTGTAAATTCTGCAAATATATCATAACTAAACAAAAAAGTATTTCGGAAGTTAGCAATGATTAGATTATACAGAAGAGATTAGCAACTTCTAGGGATGAACAACTGACACAGGGCAAAGAAATGAAAAAGTTTAACAAACCGTGTCCCACATCTGAGCAATAGTTATCACTCAAACAAAATTACAATCAGATTCCAGAAGAAGATAGCGACAGAGCAGGACATAAAAATGTTTGAAGCACCCAGAAATTCAAAATTTTAACCTAAGTATAAACACAAATCTAAGATCGCCTAACATGAAAAACAGAACAACACAAATGACATTTAAACCACATGGTAACCAAGTCCCTGGCAATGAATAATAAAGAAACAATTCTTAGTAAAATAGCCAGAAGGAAAAAGATAATAAACACATGCTGGAGGAAAATTGCAAAAGGACCTTTGACTTGGCAGCAGAAACAAATCCAGAAAACAAAATAAAATGCTATCTTAAAGTGCTTAGAGTTGAATCCCACACTTAGAAACATTTCAAATCAGAAGATAAGCAAGTTATCACTAAGAGCAATACTAAGGGACGTTCTTTGGAAATGATGCCGAATCTACAATTCAGTTCTTCACATAAAACCACAAATCCAAACTATCAATACAGAAAGCAAGTATAATTTATTTTGTTTATTTTTAAAGTTTTTTTTTTTTTTGGTTTGGTTTGGTTTGGTTTTTCGAGACAGGGTTTTTCTCCATAGCTTTGGAGCCTGTCCTGGAACTAGTTTTTGTAGACAAGGCTGGTCTTGAACTCATAGAAATCTGCCTGCCTCTCCCTCCCGAGTGCTGGGATTGAAGGCTTACACCACCACCACCCAGATATATATGTATACACACACACACACACACACACACACACACACACACACATTGCTTAAATGAAGTTATATATTCTCCTGAGTAAATTGGGAGAATAGGGACCGTGTGAGAGGGTTGAAAGGGAGGGGAGTGGAAGGGAGGGGAGCAGAGAAAAATGTATACCTCAATAAAATCAATAAAAAAGAAACTATTCTAATCAAGAAGATGATTAATTATCATCTTGATTAGCACATAGGACAACCTGGAACAAGCAAAAAGAACTAGAATGGAAGTCAGGAAATGATCTCATGAATTTTGTTATCTTTATAGGCAATCCTTAAAAAGATAGATTAGTAAATAGAAATAGCACCCCCTGTTTGAGTGTCCTAGGGTGTTATTTACTTGTGAATTGTTTCATATGGATGATTCTCAGGCTGCTCTCCATGATTCCTTTTGTTGTCTTGCAAAAATACTTTAACAAACATTACATAGTCCTCCGGACTTATGCCATAATTAAAGCTCCCATCTCATATTTACTACACTGCTGTGTGAAGTAGACACACACATATATACAACTGCTTAGTCCTTTATCTCATGTATAAATCATAGCTTTTCCTGTTGGATCTATAAACCTAATTCCTTGTTAAAATTATGTCTGGGCCTACTGACCATCACAAAGGGCCTTATTGCTGTGGATGAAGCCAGGAAAACATTTTATTTAGAAGCATGATGGTCATATGTTGCTCAGGTTTGAGTTGAATTTGTATCTTCAGGTTTATAATTTAGTATTTTTACTTATTTTACATCAAGAATTATCTAGCAAGCAAATAGTAAGAAAAATATATATTGGCTTTCTACTCTATACTTCTTTAACATTGGTCTCTCCATCCAAATATGACTATGTCAGAAATTCACCTAACTAGCAATTACCAAATATAGACACAGCAGATACAAAACTACTGGTAACATTGGAACTTTTACCCATAAATATACATATTCCCTCCCCCCAGGACTTCCTTTATCCATGTAATCAATCTCTTTTTAATAGAGAACACTTTTTCAAGTTAGACATTTAATAATCCAGGAATTATCTTAGACTAGTATGACTAATTTATAATTGTGCAATTATTATAAGGAACAAATCAACACAGACATTTGCTTGAAAGAGAGAAAATATAACTCTATGATAAAATATACTTAGCATTCTGCAAAAAGTTCTACTATCTA